TAAAAACTACCACGAAAATTAGGTAGTGAACACTAGTCCGAGAATGAACGATTTGTCAATGGCTCTAATTTGTTTATGGTAACTTTTTTCATTTTCGTACGAAGCTGTGGTAAAAATGGTAGACGGTGTAAATAAATATCTCTGCCATTTCCTATTAGAAATACGTTATCCGAATAAATTAATATTAGCGGACAGTCAAAAGAAACAAACGTGTTTGTTTAAATTAATAATAACAATAAGAAAACCTCAACACTGATGCCATGTTCACGGCTGAGTGAAAAGACCAAGTCGACCTCTTTAGTCCGGAACGTCGGTTTTGTTTGAAAACACAAACATTCTCGATTTAAAAAAAGTATCTACTCCAATGTAACGCTATCGCAAAAACCTAAGAACCCGATTGTTCTGTTTGAATATGTTGTATATACAATTCAGAGCAACTACGCAATATATTTATCATTACAATGGGAAGTTATAAGCGTATCGTAGTCGCATATTTTGCGACTGTCGCTAGGATCGAAATAAAAACGGAACTCCGAACAATAAAGTGAAGCTTTATAATAAAAAAAAAAGATTTACTATTTGGCAGAGACACGCCTAGCAGGATTTGGATGCGGCGTTTCGCACTTCCCTTTGCAAAATAAACAAATAACCTTGTGTACATACACGTTGCCAGCCGCCAACTCGGAAAAGTTAACTTTGCTTGTTTATATAAACATATTTTGCTCGTTATAATATAAAACAAATAATAACAAATGTCATGAAACACGTTTTGTTTTCTTTTTTACATAAACAAAAAACCATGAATTTTATTGTAAACATTTTCAATGAATACCGAATAATGTAGTAACAGAGTGTTGTGGTACGAAAGATGTGGATGCTTCTATGGGTTGGTCCTGTATTTGGTCCTATATCAACGTTTATAGAGCGAATGTGGATGGTGGCGGGGGAGAGGTAGAACGTACATACCTATCTTTACCTACTGGGGATGTCCTTAAAAAAAGACAGGGTTAAAAATACCAAGAATAATAAATAATAAATATTGGAACATCACATAAGTTGCTCTGATTCGAAAGTAATTAACTAAAGCACGTGTGTTATGGAAATTGGAAACAACGTTAATCCCAGAAACACTCAGGACCGCGACAATATAGTAAATATTCGTTTCAACATTGACCCGGCCGGGAATCGAACCTGGGACTTTAGAGATGGCAACACCACGAAAATCGGTGTGCAAGCCACTCGACCACTATAGTTGTCCTTGTTGTTGTCGTTTGAGAATACAGAGGCGTGTGTGCAGTGACTGATGGGAGTAGAGAAAGCGAAGGAGGTTTTTCAGGAGCCTAGCAGATATATACATGGTCTCTGCCTACTCCGGTTGGACACAGGCATGATGACATGTATGTATGTAAAGGTTTTGAATGTTCAGTGCTATGAACTGACAGTTAATCGATATGCTGTGTGTAATATTACAGGCACGTGCATGGGACTTGTCAACTTATGTCTCAGAGTGACGGGGCGCAGTGGCGGTGTCCCTCAGAGCTTTGTGAATTGTAGTTCTGAGTGGCACTGGAACTGTTATGAACAGGCGTGTTGCTTACCATCCAGACGCACGACTCTTTCGTACCGCCGTTGGTATCATAAAAAAAATAACATTCGGTGTGGTGTGCTAAATTAGGGAACACGCTAGGAACTAATTTCAAGGAATCGCTGTTATTGAAATCGATAAGGACGACTATACAAATTGAAACAAAAAAAGCTACCGTTTTTCGTATCAAACAGGAATTTGTCATATTTGACGCTAACCAAACGACATTTAAGGCTGGTGTTACGTTACTTACATATTTTTAAACTCTTTGTTATCGGTTTCATAAAATTTATATTTTGAATTTGGTCACTTTATTACTGAGGCTGGGTTGTGCAGTGGTCTATGTTATATTATGTTAATAATAACAAATAAAATGTTGACAATTAAAAATATACATCAATATGCATTAAATTTCAATATGCTTATATACTTTGTGTTTGAGGTGTGTTGTGTTTATTTTCGCGACGAAGACTTGTTGAAATGTAGTTCCGGTGCATATTTGTAGATACAGGTCACCACTTCATTTCCAAGTTGGCATGGAGATTGCTCGTGATGGTTGATCTAAAATTGCATAACAGTTTTAATATTTTTTAAGGTTATTGAATGTTACGATGTTTGATCACCATGATATCCAATTATTTTTGTGAAATTACTCCACTAGTTTGTAATAATTAAAAGACCGGACACTTAGAAAAATACCCTTTGATCCGGCTGGATTCCAACCAACGTCTTCCAACTAACCGTGGCAGACGCTATGCTTACTAAGTCACGGAACAATCTAGCAGACGAACGAAATTACGAATTTTTGTATATCCTTATTGCAGATCTTTGTTTCTGGTTTTTAACGGCTTTTTGCCGTAGAGTAAGTTTAGTATTTTTCTAAATGTACTGCCTACGAAGCGAAACAAACACAGAAACATTTGTTTGATAAATATGGACCTTAATTAATTAAACCTTGAAATTATCTGTAGTTTTCTAATTTATAATCGAAAGTAGCTATTTCTACGCGTGGAAATTTCAAATAGCTCGACGCTGTAGAGGGAGAGGCGCTGAGATTTCCTGTTCGGAAAGTTTCACTATTTTTCAGCAATTTTTCAATGTGAGTAAATTGCATTAATGTAGCTTAAACTCGTCGTTCTCATTATCGACTAGGTTTTTACATAAAATATCAAGTGTTTTTTCTAACACCTTATTTCTAATCTCGCAGTTTCGTCTATTTCTATTCATTGATGATGGACCCGGTGAAAATTTCCGGCATTTCTTGTGAGCAAACGTCACAGAATACGTCTGGAGAAGCGTCCGACTTTCAACTGGTTGAGATGACGAAGAGGAATAATATAACAAGAGTTACAAACCTCCTTCTCGCAACTTTCTGAAACTTTCTTCATGTGCTCCAATTTTTTCTTGTTCATGAACACCATTGGGGTCACTGCTGTCATGAAGCCGGTCTTACTGTATTTATTGCTTTTCACCACGCCTACCTACGCACACAATAAAAATGTAAATGTCATAGATACTTATTATAATAGCTAGGTAATATAGATGGTTGTCAAAGCTTCTTATTTATTATAAAATACATGTCGGAGCCAGATGTCACTCCAAACGTGGTGTAACTAAGTTCGATTTGTTGTTTACGTGATGTGTTTTGCAAATGGATAAATCTTAGCTAATATTACTATGTGTCGTTTTCTTATTATCAGAGAAACTATTTACGAATCACATTAACTAGTTTCGGTCATGGTTTCTTTGTTTACAAATGTCAATTCAGTTTCACAGCTCAAATTGCATATGATCGCGAGGCTTTAGCTTTGGCTTTTGGATTTGGTTTTTATGTACACAACTACAAATTACACCGAATGTCATTCAAGAAATGAATGTAGGCACATAACCATTTTATAAAACAATAAATCAACCGTTGGCTAAAAGTAGGAAAATCTGAAATTTCCCTCCACGAGAAGATATTATATTTTCTCAGCAATAAAAACGAAGGATCAAAGAGATAGGTAAGAGGGTAGTGTATATTAAATTGCTGGCATTCAGGCATAATGCCCTTTGACAATATTGCATGGAACAGTAAAAAGTTACCTTCTCGAATAGGCACTTGAGGATACAGGATGCTTTCTCAGGGTATGGTGGTTCTCCTCTCAAATGTTCCAGGTCGGTATCAGTGGCATTCTCTTGAACCATACAGTTTCTAGCTGTCTGCACCAGGGCGGTGTGAACTATTTTTGTGAACTTGTTTTCTAATAAAAAAATAAATAAGACATTAAATAGTGGCCCCGGCATAGCAACAGACACTGATTCGGGTTCCGTCAAACTGAAGGAATTTTTCGATGTGTTTGTACTTTGTATGGATAGGCGTATCGCTTACCTCCAGGCGTACATCTTGTTCACTCCTGTGGCGAACTAGGAGATGAATCCGGGTTTGCGCACTTTCCAGTAACCGATTTCAATAAAACTTGGCAAATAGATGCAATTCCACGGTTTTTTTAGTACTCTGTACTGAGATTATTCAGAAAACAATTTTGGCATAGTAATTTTTTTGGTCAAGGCTTAGTTGTCAATTAAAAAAAAAATTGGTCAAAATTTTTTTGCGCTTATCTACTCCGTTTTATGAAGAGAACATTTCATTGTACGGGACGAAAAAATCGGAACAGTAGAATTGGGTCTAATTTCATAAAATATTTTTTCATACAAAATGAATAAAATTGACATTTTTTTTAATGCTAATGAATGACTTACACGTATCGGAAGAAAAATAATTGAGACAGCAGAAGTTGCTCAAATTTAGTTTTTAAAAAACATTCCTAGTACCTTCTATGGTTTCGGATTTGTCCATACTGGCTCATTTATAGTCTGCGGTATGGGCTCTGGATGAGGAGATCCCGGTTTATATTATCGGTAAGACCAATTACGAGCATAAACTTACTTTTCTTTAATTGGTTCTGATCTATGTATTTTGAGTTGTACCCCAAATGCCTCAGAGTGAATTCCTTTGCTTCTGGTACTCATGGGGATTTCCTCGTTTGAGATTAGTTTATTAGGGAAGTTCCCTACCTGTAGATTTATTCCCTGAACGCAATAACTTGGGCATTTTAAAGGCGAGAGTGAATTAATAGGTGTGCTTCATCATCAACCTCATGAAATGGAAGTCTAATGCGTTTTTTTCTTTTTTTTAATATATAATAGACACACGGTTGGCCATAATCTCACCTGATGTTAAGCGAAAAAATGCCTATTCACTCTAGCCTTGAATAGCCCCAAATTGTACTTTTCGGATACTTTGACTCTCTCTCGTACACGGCAGCTACGTCGGGCTAAGCTAGCATCCTTGAACCTCCATACATCTAGCTTCGCCCTTATTGGCTGGACATAAACATTTTCCAACCAGCTCAAGCTGATACCGCTGTGCAAGACTAGCCAAAAGGACTTTAAAGTCACCTATTTACTCTAATAAATTCTTTTGCTGTAATATTAATCGGTAAGCGCGTCATATTGGTGAAAACGGAGATAATTATGAAACACATTGTCAACAGCGTCATAGTAATGTTCGATCAGATAATGTTCCTTTAAAATTTATTAGTTTCGTAAATAATGACTCCAACTCACCCTTGTCGTCGGCAGCCACAATGTAAAATAAACAGAGCAGATAAAAATGTTTGAATCGACACAACACGAGCATTTCGGACGTTTCCACTGTTAAAATTTCCGTAAAATAATAACAGAATAATTTTGTAGCAGACATTCGATGCAGCCGCGAGATACTATCTTTACGCTTGTCTGATTTCGATCGGCGATTGCGTGTACGTTTACAAAATTATAAAAAGGTAATTATATTCGAATTTTCTCTGAAGTTTCTAGAAAAAACTCTATTGTTATAAAATTACAAATTTATAATAGATTATACCTTTTTTTGTGTATCAAAGTCACGATTTTAAAATCATTCTATTGTATCTAGTACTAGGTGCACCTAATGAAAATATGTCCGGCTGATATGATGATGGATCTGACATCAAGAAAGAGATACAAGCTGGAGATTTATTACGCTACTTTAGTTCGAAAGCTCATTTTAATACAAATTGTTTCACCAAAACCTAGGCCGGATAGCATAATAAAACCATTAATTAAGTAAACAATATGGCTAAACAGCTAGGATCAGTAACAAATTGGACAATCCCGGTTTTCTATCAGCCTATTCATCAGTCTGGGCCGGTGACTAATTATTTATTGGTCCGATGGTACTGCTGTAAATAATGAGAGCATTTAGGAATTCAATGAGTCCTTTGTGCATAGCTATAAAATTGTAATCGAATTTAGTTTTATCGTTATAGTCCTGCATGTCAACCGTGTAAATTAAAGATGGCGGTCTTTCTGTAGCGTTGATATTCTATCATTCTAGCCATTTTTACCATTTGAAGCATTGTTTATTAAACACTTTCATTACAAGATATTCTTTGGTTGCACCCCCCTTTCCAACTCTTAAATTTCTATCCTAAGGTTGGCTGGAAGAAACTGCCGGCTTAGCAATAAGACCGCGTGTTGTAAATTAGCTTACTCTGCGATACTTTCGTTACTGTTGTGTTGTCATTGTAATTTTAATGTGCATTAAAGAATATTTCATTATTTATTCATTCGTTCATCCATTCGTTCATCCATTCGTTCACCCATTCGTTCACCCATTCGTTCATCCATTCGTTCATCCATTCGTTCATCAATTCGTTCATTCATTCGTTCATTCATTCGTTCATTCATTCATTCTTTCATTCGTCATCAACTCATTTATACGTTCCACTGCTGACCACGAAACTCCTCTTAGGTGAGGGTTTAGTTGTTGGGTTGGAGACTTCATAGATTTCCTGGGGTTATGAACCTGTTTCGACGTGCAGGTTCCATCACGATATTTTCCCTCACCGAAAAGCTCGTGGTAAATTTCAAATGAAAATTCGCACACAAATTCCGAAAAACTCACGAGGTGCGAGCTCGAATTCAAATCCACCCACGGTCAAACCATTAGGCGACCACGGCATTTTTTTTATTTTATAGGAACTAAAAAAAAGATATGCGAAGCTAGTTACAAAATAGTTCGACAGAGAATTTTAAAGAAATTTAACATTCTTACATTAGTGTATGGCGCTGTACTTAAAATACACACATGCTATCAAATGAAAAAATATCAAAGCATATAAGAACTGGACATGTTATGCAAACAAGAAACAACCCACATCTCGAGTGAAATTGAGTTATGTATTTAGGTGGAACACCAGACGTGTCCTTTACCCGCTCACAAAAGATCCTGGCAACATACCAAGCCAAATCGGAGAAAATAAAAGCCCTTCAGGGTACCAACCCTAAATAAGTAACTTTTTAATAGCTAAAAAGAACCTTGCTGCTTCTTATAACTTCATATAATGTCTTTTTTAAAATATGCTAAACGGGTCCATGTCACATATACTGAAGTAGTGGAGATCTTTGGCGTTTTCATTACGAAAACTAGAACATGGTTCTGGTTAACTAAATAAAAAGATACATAATGTTTTCTATTTATTGCTATATAATATAATAGTTTCCCTATATCGTTCTCACTGCTACAGTACATCGTTTGTCTCAAATAGAGATGCGCCGAGTACAAGTTTTACTGAGTAACCGAGTACCGAATATTACTCGGTTTAACATTTACCGAACCGAGTACTCGGCCGTGTTACTCGGTTCATTGCAACCGGAACGTGATGATCCTAAAAGCCCCCATTGCTCTAGAATTGAAAGTTTATTGTCGCGAGAGCAGAATCCTTTCCAATGGTGGGCAGAGCATAAAACAAAGTATCTAAAACTGGCACAATTAGCACGAGTGTTTTTATGTGCACCTGCAAGCGCTGTGTATAGCGAGCAGTTATTTGCCGAAGCGGGTAATGTGTATGAAGAAAAAAGGAACAGACTATTACCTGAACGCGCAGAAAGCCTTGTAAATATTCCTACATCATAACTTGCCTTTGTTAAATTTTAAATATTAATTATGTAAACTTTCTTTTTAAATTACTAAATTGCTAGAAATTGTTACAATTGTCTACAATTTCTAGTAATAAATCTCTTTTGAATATTTTAAATATATTGTTGATTTTACTTTACAATATCTATAGCTGTGATGCTTTATTTTAACCGACTACTCTTCTCATGAACCGAGTTATTCGGCCAAGTACATTATATTATTATTAATTATCTCGAAAGTGACATATTGTGGGTTGGTTATAGTTTGCATAAGTCCACCTACAAATCTCGTAAGTATCGTGTTCGACGGTAGACAGCCGATTACAATACAATATAAATTAACTTGTCAAAACCGAGGTCTGGCCACGTATCCCACGAACGCAAGCTACGCAGCAGAAGTTTTCAACGTTGCAATTTTACTAAATAATCAAGGACGCAAACAATGATTTCATTTTTGTTTTGAATACTTTGTGTTTTAGGTTCTAATCCAACCAAAAATAATATATTTTTTTTAGTCTCACCTAATGGCTAAATTTGACTTTTTTTAGTATTTCGTTTTGATTTCAACGAATTGGTGCATTATATTTACTTATTTACGTATTTTTTTGTGTATGATATTTTTTCACACTGTTAAGTGCCTGTCCATAATTTGCAAGCAAATATTTAGCTCGACCTTTAGTAGGCGAAAGTTACTTTTTACTCCTACATTTGTTATTTGTCTTTTATTTAAAATAAATAAAGTGTCAGGATCAAGATAAGTACCATTTAAATAACCACACCAAATTTGGAAGTAAGCAAGTTTGGTTTGCCCGAGAAAAATATGTCAAAAAATAACCACCAGAGTCTCACTGTAATCCAGTTTTTGTATTACCTATGACAATAAGCAGTATTCTAGGAACTTTAAGCTACACTTCAAGATACGTGTTACAGGATGTACTATTTTCAAAGTTCCACGTGCTATGTTATCGCCTAAAAACTTACACAAAAACACCATATTTAAGCGATTTTGGGCACCTCATCGCCTTCAGTAAAATACTGATAATATAACATTTATTCGAGAAATAAAAATACATAAACGGGTTGTTTGCTCGACAGTTGTTTCCACAACTCACAAATGCATATAAGGGGCAATGTATACGCTTCTATAATAAGATTCCTATTGATGTTTAAAATTTGCCATTTATGCGGTTTAAAACTATAGTGAAACAAAAACTTTACACTACCTA